TTTACTCTTAAAGTTGAGGGTTAGTTCCTTGTGAAACAGACAAATGCAAGACTGTGTAAGTTTATTCGTAACATAAACCGAATATTTGGGCCCTTTTCCATACTTGATATATATATACACTACATGCAAACTTTTACGTCGAATTTAAAATTAAGTAACAGAAACTAAATACTCCATTAAAAACAATCCAGAAAACAGTTAGAAGACTACAGCATATTTACCTGATGTATTTGATGCCTAGTCTTACCTGTTACACGTTTGTTACGTCTAATATCTTACTTACCTGATGTATTTGATGCCTAGTCTTACCTGTTACATGTTTGTGACGTCTAATATCTTACTTACTTGATGTATTTGATGCCTAGTCTTACCTGTTGCACGTTTGTCATGTCTAATATCTTGCTTACCTGATGTGTTTGATGCTTAGTCTTACCTGTTACACGTTTGTTACGTCTAATATCTTACTTACCTGATATATCTGATGCCTAGTCTTACCTGTTACACGTTTGTTACGTCTAATATCTTACTTACTTGATGTATTTGATGCCTAGTCTTACCTGTTGCACGTTTGTCACGTCTAATATCTTACTTACCTGATGTGTTTGATGCTTAGTCTTACCTGTTACACGCTTGTTACGTGTAACCTATGTTAAAATAAAATATAATTATTCCATTTTAAGACGTCTGTTAACAAATCGTTAAGTTAGGAAAGAGCTGGAGGAGGCTCTTCAGATATTAACACTCTCAGAAGATATTTAGACGGCGGCCATCTTTAGTTCAATCTTAAGACGTCTGTTAACAAATCGTTAAGTTAGGAAAGAGCTAGAGGAGGCTCTTCAGATATTAACACTCTCAGCAAAAAGATATTTCCTGAATTATGTATTAGTAACAATTTCTTTCCTAGGATGATTTAGTGATATTGGATCCAGATTTAAATTTGATGAAAAAAGGAAGGCTGATGTTTAGATTATGATAGAATCAGAAACACAGACTAACATTTTCAAACATGTATGTTGTATTCGTTCGTCACTTTCAATGTCTAACAGATGTTAAACATTTTAATTGAGAAAGCTTACACATTGTTGGGTTGGCTCGTCTCATTGGTTCATGAGCTTATTATGTCATAAAAACATTGTTGGATGACTCATTCTATGAGTTAATCAGCTTATCTTGTTATAAAAACATTGTTGGTTGACTCATCATGTGAATTAATCAGCTTATCTTGTTACAAAAACATTGTTGTTTGACTCATACTATGAGTCAATCAGCTTATCTTGTTATAAAAACATTGTTGGGTGACTCATTCTATGAGTCAATTCAGCTTATCTTGTTATAAAAACATTGTTGGGTGACTCATTCTATGAGTCAATTCAGCTTATCTTGTTGTAAAAACGATGTTGAGTTGGCTCGTCTTATACGTTAATGATATTATCATGTTATTAAAACCCCGAGTAGTCATGATACCAAACTTCCATATTATATGAGAAACAAGCTACTAACAAAGAGAATTATATTCTTATATAATTACAAAACGTAAGTCAGATGTCTATTAACACTTAGGTAGTGGCAAGAAATGAAACAAAACCTAAGTCAGATGTCTATTAACACTTAGGTATTGGCAAGAAATAAAACAAAACGTAAGTCAGATGTCTATTAACACTTAGGTAGTGGCAAGAAATGAAACAAAACGTAAGTCAGATGTCTATTAACACTTAGGTAGTGGCAAGAAATGAAACAAAACGTAAGTCAGATGTCTACTAACACTTAGGTAGTGGCAAGAAATGAAACAAAATGTAACTCAGATTTCTTCAGATATAGGTAGAAGTGACAAAAAATGAGCTAAACACTGACTCGGTTTTGTTGAGATGTAGGTAGAAGTAACAAGGAATTAGATATACACTGACTCAATTTCATTGAGATGTAGGAAAAAGTGACAAACAATGAGCTAAACACTGACTCGGTTTTGTTGAGATATAGGTAGAAGTGACTAGGAATGAGCTAAACACTGACTCAGATTTGTTTAGATGTAGATAGAAGTGACTAGGAATGAGCTAAACACTGACACAGTTTTGTTTAGATGTACGTAGGTAGAAGTGACGAGGAATGAGCTAAACACTGACTCAGTTTTGTGAATAAATAAAAAGCTGTCAATCGACTGTTTTTTTTCACTGTTTTAATTTTATTGGAGGTAACAGGTTATACAGTTCAAAGTAGAAAAGCCTTTGTGACGGTTTTACCTGATCCGAAGGGGTTTTTTGACCTGGGTATTTTTAGTTTATGGGCATATATGTCGTTCCTTTCAGGGTAAATGTGCCTATACCAACACCAGCATCTATATGTATCTCTACGTTGACCCTTATATAACGAATATGATTCAATATGTTGATCAATTGATATAATAATGCAGCCATATGTGGTCCTATTTCGTGTCCTCCCCCCCCCCTCCCCCACGTTTCTTGGACTTTGAAGACAGTGGTAGTTGTAGTTATGCCACTGATGTTCAACATCATTCGTTGCCATGGATACTTAACAGCACCTATTCTAAAAGCAGGTGGTAACCAAGATACGCTGTAACCAAGCGCTTTTCTCGACTGATACCTGATGCTCATCAAACGTCTCGAACTTACTAGTGCCATTTACTCTGTACACTGGAGATGATATGAGATTGGTTAACGTAAACAGTATGTTTCCAATAACTTTTGAATGACGCCCAAGTACGCTATATTCTATGCACACAGAAACAACTTCAAGTGAAGTACTGCTGGGAGAGAATTAGGTATATTGCAGAGAAAGATAAGACATATTAAAAGTCCTTTGGTGTAGTATATACAAGGATTTTGGAGTTAATAATATGCAGTATATACAAGGATTTTGGAGTTAATAATATGTAGTATATACAAGGATTTTGGAGTTAATAATATGTAGTATATACAAGGATTTTGGAGTTAATAATATGTAGTATATACAAGGATTTTGGAGTTAATAATATGCAGTATATACAAGGATTTTGGAGTTAATAATATGCAGTATATACAAGGATTTTGGAGTTAATAATAAACCTATACATCTCTTATTCTAAAATCTCATCAAATTTTCTACCTATACTTAAAAAAAAAACGTGTTCACCAGACAGTTACCAACATTTTACACGTTCAAATAAAATAAATAGAATAACGGATGGATGTGAATTAATGAAAGTATTCTCGAAAACCATCTCATGTAAAAACAATGTCATTTTATAGCAGTAGTCATTTATAAAGGAATTTGATTATAACCAAAAATCGATCGTTCCACTTAATGTAGAGGTCTGACCAAACCGAAGGTTTGATGCTCCTAAAATCTAATGTTATTCCGTCATCATTAAATCAGACAAAAGGTACCTTCTTTATTCAAGGTCCTTCAATTTCATTTATCCCAAATTGAGGGACCTTTGATAAATCAGACCGAAGGACCTTTAATAAATCAAATTGAGGGACCTTGGATTAATCAGACTGAAGGACCTTTGATAAATCAGAATGAATTACCTTGGATAAATCAGACTAAAGTACTTTGAATAAATCAGATTGAGGGACCTTTGATAAATGAGATTGAAGTACCTTGGATAAATCAGACTGAAGGGCCTTTGATAAATCATACTGAAGTACCTTGGATAAATCAGACTAAAGTACCTTGAATAAATCAGATTGAGGAATCTTTGATAAATCAGATTGAAGTACCTTGGACAAATCAGACTAAAGGACCTTTGATAAATCAGACTGGAGGACCATAGATAAATCTGGCTGAAAGACCTTGAATAAATCAAACTATAGGACCTTTGATAAATCAGACTGGAGAACCATGGATAAATCTGGCTGAAAGACCTTGAATAAATCAGACTAGAGGACCTTTGATAAATCAGAGTGGATGACCATGAAACAAACCAACTACGAGTCTTTCCATCAACTTTATGCAAAAAAACACATATATCCATACATACACATAGATGTTAACATTGATCTAGTGTTACAGCTTAAGACATGGTTGTTTTTTAAACGTCGCTAACCTTTCTAACAACGAAAAGTGGGATTGATCGTCACATTATAATGCCCATACGCCTAAAAAGACGAGCATATTCGGTGACGGGAATCAAACTCGCGACCTGCAGATTGCGAATCGAGAGCCCTAATCACCAGGCAAAGCCCGGCCGCCCAAAGACACGAAGTAGTTAATATAACATAATATAAAAGCCTGATAAATATTATGGTTGTTTTTACAGGAGGTTGAACTAATTCTTCTACGAATGTAACTCATCACACATACACTGATAATTATTTTAGACTACCACCGGCAGAGGGAGTTGTTCTTACAGGAGGTTGAACTAATTCTTCTATGAATGTAACTCATCACACAATACACTGATAATTATTTTAGACTACCACCGGCAGAGGTAGTTGTTTTTACAGGAGGTTGAACTAATTCTTCTAAGAATGTAACTCATCACACATACACTGATAATTATTTTAGACTACCACCGGCAGAGGGAGTTGTTTTTACAGGAGGTTGAACTAATTCTTCTATGAATGTAACTCATCACACAATACACTGATAATTATTTTAGACTACCACCGGCAGAGGGAGTTGTTTTTACAGGAGGTTGAACTAATTCTTCTATGAATGTAACTCATCACACATACACTGATGATTATTTTACACTTCCACCGGCAGAGGGAGTAGCATCATGTCCTCTTAGGGGGCATTTCAAATTTGATGACTAGACTAAAATTATACTAATTAATTTATGAAAGTTGTATTATTGTGGTTAACACTAATTCCTCCTCTCTGAAAAGAAACCAGTAAACCTGAAAACTGTAGTGAAAATTTTTTGAAATATTATTAGTAATGATATGCTTATAAATTTTTATATTTTAAAATATATATTGTTTTATTGGCTAATTATTGTAAGAAAATGTAAGGTAGGATTCACGAATTAGATTTAAGATATTCATCTTTATCCATTTTAGACAGGCAAAGAACAGAAGCCGTGGCTTTGAACCATTTCCAGCACCATGATATGTCGTCTCTACGCAACTGTTGCATTCATATCGTGACATAAGCATGAAGAGTTCGATGACGTCAGTGATACGTAAACTTAAGATTCTTCTCCTTGTGTCTTATTTCGGTTTAGTAGTGTTTCCAGCCACCAGAGGGTGTAGATTGTCAGAATATTATTGCGACAACGGTAACTGTGTTTCTCACAGCCGCTTCTGTGATGGAACTGATGATTGTGGAGATGGAAGTGATGAGCCATTAGGATGTACAAGTCAGTATTTCATCTATCTATCTATTTAGGATGTACAAGTCAGTATTTCATCTATCTATCTATTTAGGATGTACAAGTAAGTATTTCATCTATCTATCTATTTAGGATGTACAAGTAAGTATTTCATCTATCTAGGATGTACAAGTCAGTATTTCATCTATCTATCTATCTAGGATGTAAAAGTCAGTATTTCATCTATCTATCTATTTAGGATGTACAAGTCAGTATTTCATCTGTCTATGTAGGATGTACAAGTCAGTATTTCACCTATCTATCTATCTAGGATATAAAAGTCAGTATTTCATCTATCTATCTATTCAGGATGTAAAAGTCAGTATTTCGTCTATCTATCTATCTTACATTGGCAAATGAAGTAAAATAAAAACCGTTTGATTTTATTTTTGGCTTGGATTTTTCTATGCATAAATTTATTGAGACAAACAAACCAAATGTTTTGTTGATTAACTTCTGTGCGTGGTTTAACAGAAAATTATTTATTTTTTCGTGAAATCTTTTTGGACTAAACATTTCATGCCAAGGTTGACATTGTAATTAAAACTAAAATACTATAAATAAAATAAAACAACCATTTATTATTACCAGGTAATGTAAATGTATTGTTATTATATCAGGGTTTAGAAAACAATTGCTTTTTAGAAACGATCGATAAGGCTTTTAAATCATAATAAAATGAGTGCAATATAAATTATCAGGATTTAAGTGTAGAATTTCTTCTTATAGGCCTAAATCTACATTCTACAAGGTGTCCCAAAAGTCAGTTGCCATAGGTTGAATGTGTATACATGTTTACAGAACATGTTCGAAATGTCCGCCTTGTAAATCGATAAACTACTGAAGGCATTCAATTCAGACTTTTGTCAGTACTCGCCCTCCAGTGGCACAGTGGTATGTCTGTGAATTTACAATGCTAGAAACTGGGTTTTGATACCCATGGTGGGCAGAGCACAGATAGCCCATTGTCTGGCTTTGTGCTTAACTACAAACAAATAATCAATATTCAATGTTATTATCTAAAAAAAAACGCAAATATAAAATAATCAACAAAAAAACACAAAAACAATGCTACAATGGCAATGGACATGTGGCGCACTCTTTTACAGTCAACAATGAATTTGAATCCTTATAAAAATATAATTAATTAAACTATACAAGAAGTTTAAACATACAAAAACCAGCAACATATAAATTTATATTATTTAACAAAATTAATCACAACAATAATTCAAAAAGATGGTATTTATTTGTAGAAGAACAAAATAAGTAATTTAACATAATAATCTACAATGTTTTACAAGAAAATACGCGACAAGTATATTATGTATTACAGTTTTTAGCTGTACCTCCAGATACTCCATTGCGCAGATTTGTGCTTAAGAACAGACCAAAATTATCAGCCACTGTTAATATCTGATTTAAAATAAAATAGTTTCAGTACTGTTTCCATATGCTAGATTTTCTCATACTTCACGTTTGAAATAAAATAATTTTATTTCAAAGACATTTCGTGAAAGAATGTATATAATATAAACACCATAGCCTTATATGCTACGTCTTTATGAGATATAATAATCAGAGGCAAGAGGGTTAATAACTAACCCTCATCTGGAACTTGGAGCCAGAAGAAAATAAAATAAAATATAAACACCATAGCCTTGTATGCTACGTCTTTATGAGATATAATAATTAGAGGCACAAGGGTTAATAACTAACCCTCATCTGGAACTTGGAGCCAGAAGAAAATAAAATAAAATATAAACACCATAGCCTTGGATGCTACGTACTTTATGAGATATAATAATTAGAGGCACAAGGGTTAATAACTACCTGTCATCTGGAACTTGGGGCCAGAAGAAAAGAAAATATAAACACCATAGCCTTGTATGCTACGTCTTTATGAGATATAATAATCAGAGGCACAAGGGTTAATAACTAACCCTCATTTGGAACTTGGGGCCAAAACCACAGACTCTTCTCATTCCAATTATGGGGTTCAGTACTCAATCAGGGTAACTAGGCGCCGTCCCTAACTTAGAACTATCAATCACAGGAAGGCAATCGATGGGGAGCAACCTACTATTATATATATATATATTTATTTATTTAATTTCAGTAATAGAATTATTGTGCATGATTGATTTTAAACCAAGTTTCCAATGTAAGTAAGAGTGGCTTACCCTTTAATATAGAGAAGTAGAGATAAAGGCTGCCAATCCTTGCTCAACCCTATAGTAGTAATATATCTCTTTTTTTTTTTTTAGATTGCAACCGGACATATTACGGTCTTGTTGGAACGAAATATCCTTTGCGTATTACTAAGCCTTTTCAGCGCTCATTTCCATACGTGTGTCGGATTACGTTTGTAGCAGAAGGAGGAGATTTCGGAGACATAGTTGAGGTCTCATTCCTCTCTTTCCAGCTGGGTTCTTTCCAGTTAGATGGGTAAGTACAAAAATTAATGGACATTTTTTTTTAAACTAAAGCCCTCATAGCTGCAAAATATTACGGAGTTTATTTATTTTTGAACAAAAAACAAACAAAACTTAAAGTATCTTACTTTGTAGATATATAGAGTTTAGTCAATTCACATTAAATTTACAAATACTTCAAATTGTTTATGAATTTATTTCATCTGATCCTTACCGGCATAAACTCATCTGGCAATGAAAAAAAATATATATACTATATAAATACTCACCCAGAAAGGTCTATAAATGAGAAGTTTAGCGTCCTGGAGTTTGGAACCGATGGTGCATGCTTCCGTTTCCACAAAAACATAAAGGAAAAAAAAAGCGCGATCTGCAGTTTGAGGTCTTTGGTACATTTTTAGGTGTTAAACCCCACTATTTGATTAGAGCACTTCAAGATCATGCACTTAACTGTTTTCCTCTAGTCTTTCAGTTCAAAATTAAGGACTGTCAGTGTAGATAGATAGCCTTTGTGTTGCTTTACTCAAAAATCCGAAACAAACAAATATAGTATTAAAACACACTTTTTAGTTTCAGAGAACGCTAATGAATATAGGTAATCTGTTTTATTACAAATGTTCTGTCATTGTTCTCGACTCGCAGTCTGCGGGTCGCGGGCTCGAATCCCCGTCACACCAAACATGTTCGCCCTTTCAGCCGTGGGGGCGTTATAATGTGACGGTCAATCCCACTATTCGTTGGTAAAAGAGTAGCCCAAGAGTTGACGGTGGGTGGTGATGACTAGCTGCCTTCCCTCTAGTCTTACACTGCTAGAGCAGATACTCCTGGTGTAGCTCTGTGCAAAATTCATAACAAACAAACAGAGAAACATTCTCTGAAATCGAACTGTTTGATTGCACATCATTATTACTATTCCAATAAAAAAAGATATTTGTATCCAAGATCGCGTGGTTAATTGGGTGAATGATCACAACTTTGATTCACTTCTGTTTAGGATGTTACTTTTTACACACATAAAATATTCTTACAAATAAATATAATACTTTCTGATCTCAAGGTTCTGATCCTTCTTACATTTACAAATCGCGTAGCATGATTTATCCTTACATTAAGTGTAGGTTAAGTTAAACTCCCACATGTACATCTTGGAGAGATGATAACAGAACAGACGTAGGTTGTATCTACCGTTTTAACATAAGAAAGTAAGCAGTGGTCATTTCCTGTGTATTCGATTTCGTTTTAGTTATTTCTGGGAAGAAAGGCTAAGCATAGATTTATAAGGTTCGAGTGAGAGAAAATTTACGACTTCAGTTACTTATAGATTCTACATACCGCTTATCACTTGGTACAGTGTTTGCGTGACGAAACATTGGGGCTAACGCAGGAAAAGTAGAAATATTGATTCTTTGTTTTCTGATTCGTTTTGTAGACGAGGAAATGACGATTGGCAGAACTATTAAAAAAATACAGGAGAGGAGTGATTGTTTTCTCTTTTTTTTAATTTACGTTCAGCTAATGCTAAAATAATTCGAAATGTTGATCACCATCACTTTGATCAAATGCAATGGAAAAAAAATGCCAGAGAGAGAGAGAGAGAGGCACGAAACAAGATAAACAAGAGAAACTTCAATGGATTCAGTCGAAATGGATGTTTATTTACTTGGAAAGAAAGAAATAATAAATATATCAATATCAAAACCTACGGGTGAATTAATAGACCGCTTAATAGTGTAATAGATTGCTAAAAGATAATTTCTTACCCTATTAATCAACCGGTTTTGAACTCGAATTTTCATATTATCTCCAAGTTGTTTTCAAAGGAGTGAAAATTTTGAGGTCAGCGTGTCTGGTCTGTTTTTAAAGGAGTAAAAATTGTGAAATTAGTTTGTAGGGTCAGTTTTTAAAGGAGTAAAAATTGTGAGACTAGTTTGTAGGGTCTGTTTTTAAAGGAGTACAAACTGTGAGACTAGTTTGTAGGGTCTGTTTTTAAAGGAGTACAAACTGTGAGACTAGTTTGTAGGGTCTGTTTTTAGAGGAGTAAAAACTGTGAGACTAGTTTGTAGGGTCTGTTTTTAAAGGAGTACAAACTGTGAGATTAGTTTGTAGGGTCTGTGTTTAAAGGAGTACAAACTGTGAGATTAGTTTGTAGGGTCTGTGTTTAAAGGAGTACAAACTGTGAGACTAATTCGTAGGGTCTGTTTTTAAAGGAGTACAAACTGTGAGACTAGTTTGTAGGGTCTGTGTTTAAAGGAGTACAAACTGTGAGATTAGTTTGTAGGGTGTGTGTTTCAAGGAGTACAAACTGTGAGACTATTTTGTAGGGTCTGTTTTTAAAGGAGTACAAACTGTGAGACTAGTTTGTAGGGTCAGTTTTTAAAGAAGTGCAAACTGTGATATTAGTTTGTAGGGTCTGTTTTTAAAGGAGTACAAACTGTGAGCCTAGTTTGTAGGGTCAGTTTTTGAAGAAGTACAAACTGTGATATTAGTTTATAGGGTATGTGTTTCAAGGATTAAAAATTGTGAGCCTAGTTTGTAGAGTCTGTGTCTAAAGGAGT